TCAATTCTTCAAGTTGTCACAGATATTGTACACAGGTAAGTTGGGGAACTAGGGATCGAACCCTGGGTCCTACATCAGCTACTTCGAACTGGTGAATATCGTTTCACTTTGGCATTTTCGGCCTCTATATCCAGCATGCATTGTCGGCCTCTTGTTTATGTGCCCAGGGCCTAACCAACTCGGGGCCCTGGGATATCTGCATTTGCAGAGCTCCGATACTCAGTGCACACCAACCAACTGGCATGCTGCAACTGTATGGACCCCACTTCGTGAAATGTTTGCTCAGAGGGCTCTTGTTGATTTGCTGGCCCGCCTTCACTTAGGGCGGGCACTAGGCCTGCTGGGGCCTTAGCCCAGAACATGTACTCCATGGCAAGGCCCCTTCTTGAGGGCTCAATCCTCACATTCCATCCCCCTTAGCTTCGAAAGTCCGCTGAGATGCTTACTTTGCAGGTGTCTTCCCTTTTAACATTCTCTCATACTCTGCCACCACTTGAGGAGCTGTGTCAATCAGTTCCTCTCTGGTGAACCATCGATCTTCCTTTGGATCTGTATGATGCCTCGATCTGACGCGATACTCCCGCTTGGGTTTTGGAGGTCTTCCTCTACCCAATGGCTTCTCAACAGGCAGATCTCTGTGATCCACAATGTCGTCGATGCCCACTTGACCATCCATTGTTGGGGGCAGCATTGATCTCCTGGAAGGGAATTGATCTGTCTCAGCGAAAGGTGCAAGCTTTGAGGCATGAAAGACAGGGTGAGTGCGTAGGTGTCCAGGGATACGGATAACATAGGTAGGGCCATCCATCTCATCCCCCACTACATCCAGGACTTCCCAAGGACCGAAATACTGTAGCATTAGTTTACGAGAGATCCCGAATTCCTGCCCTAGCTCACTAGCGTTGCCCCAGACACGTTCCCCTACCTAAAATGAGGACTGTCGTCGATGCTGGTTCTCAGAAGCAATCATTGCTTGCTGAGCTTTCTTGATGTGCTCGACAGCTTGCTGCAGCAACTTCTCATACTACACACCATACTCGAGTGTGCCCGGAGTTGCAGAGTATCGGTTCTCAGGTAGGAGGAAGTCTAGAGCTGATTTAGGCTTCCATCCCAAGTGCAGTTGATTAGGACTGACGCCGGTACTGCTGTGTACAGCATTGTTGTACAGGCTGGCGATGAGAGGCAACTTTTCATCCCAATCATTCTGGCTGGGCTTGATGTAATGCCTCAGCAAGTGCTGTACAACTCTGTTCATTTGTTCGGCCTGCCCGTTGGCTTCGGGATGATTCCCTGAAGTCATCTGAAGTTGACTGCCCATCTGCTCAGCAGTCTTCTTCCACAACTCACTTGTGAATCGGACATCTCTGTCACTAACGATTGACTTTGGAAGTCCAAAATCACGCACCCAGTTGTCCATAAACAACTTGATGACGTGGTCCGTCCTGGCGGGCTCTGGCATGGCAACTAGTCTAGCATACTTGGTGAATCGATCGATCATGACGAAAATGTGCCTCTTGCCACTCTTACTGGTCACCAGGGTGTCCATGAAATCCATGGAAACACTCTGTCCTGGACCAGCGGGGATGGGTAAGGGCTTCAGCAACCCAAGCGGTACTTGAGTTTGCGGCTTGTCCTGCTGACAGACCTGACACGTCTCTACATACTTCTTTGCGTCATCTAGCATTCCAGGCCACCAAAATCGTTGTACTAGATTGACACTCGTCTTTTTGTAGCCAAAGTGTCTGGTTGCGTCATGACATTCTCCTAGAAATAAACTACGCAAACTCTCACTTGATGGAACTACTAACCTTTTACACCCGGCCTTATCAAGAAAGAGTAACCCATCCACCATCACAAACTCACTTTTTGTGGCCTTGTCTTTTGCTTGAAGTTTGCGCATGATGTCCATCATGACAGGGTCTTCCTGATAGGCTCCCACCAACGATTGAGTCACTTCCTGAGATACACCGAACTCGGAAACTAGCACCCCTAGGTAGTCTGCTCTACGAGATAGCGCATCTGCAACCTTGTTGTACTCTCCCTTCAGATACTCAAGCTTGAAGTCATACTGATCTATGACCTCAATCCAACGCTTGAGTGCATCAGAAAGAGTCGGTTGAGTCTCGATCCATTTGAGCGTCTGATGGTCAGTTCTCAAGTAGAAGAACCGTCCCAACAAAAAATGTCTCCAATGGACAATTGTAGAGAGCATAGAGTTCCCTTTCGTAGGTGGACTTTGCCAATTTCTTCGGTGGCATTTTCTTGCTCATGTACTCAATCGGTCTCAACTTCTAACCATCCTGCTGAGCCAGCACTGCGCCAATGCCATATTGGCTTGCGTCAGTGGTCACTATAAATGGTTTCCGAGGATCGGGAACCATGAGAACTTGATGATTCATAAGTGCATGCTTCGATCGCTTGAAAGCACCCTCGCACTCATCACTCCAGTCCCACAGCGTGTCAAGTCGAGTTAGATCCATCAAAGGAGAGGCGACTGTAGAATAGTTCTTTACAAAGTTCCTATAGTAGCCACACATTCCTAAGAAAGATCTGACCTCAGTGACAGTCTGAGGTCGTGGCCAGTCTCGAATACTAGCCACCTTCGCATCTTCCGGCCTAATCCCTTCCGCGGATACTTCATGACCCAGGTATAATATCTTAGAGCGACCAAACTCACACTTCTCTAGGTTGACCTTATACTTGTGCTGTCGCAGGAGTGAAAATATAGTCTCAACGTGTTGTGCATGCTCCTCGACAGACTTACTAAAGATCAGAATGTCGTCAAGGTAAACCACGACAAACTTATCTAAATGGTCATGGAAGACCCGATTCATGGCGTGCTGGAATGTTCCCGGCGCATTGCAAAGACCAAAGGGCATCACTACAAACTCATACAGACCATATCGAGTCTGAAAAGCTGTCTTGTGTTGGTCCTCAGGTCTTATAGCGATCTGATGATAGCCGGATTTCAAGTCTATCTTGCTATAGTACTTGCATCCCTGCACCCTATCCAGTAGGTCGTCTATGCGAGGTAGAGGCACTGCGTTCTTCACTGTGATGGCATTGAGGCCTCTATAGTCAATGCACATCCTCAATGTACCCCCCTTCTTTGGTACAAATAGTTCTGGAGATCCGTAAGGGGAAGTACTAGGCCGGATCCATCCCTTCTCTGTCAGCTCTTTGAGTTGTCGCCGAAGTTCATCCAACTCGGCCAGAAGCATCCTATAGATCCTTCCCTTTGGGGTTTTACTCCCTGGAATGATTTCTATGGCGTGGACAACCTCCCTTTCTACAACTCCTGTGGGCTCCTAGAACAGATCAGGGAACTTAGCAACAACGTGTTCTATCTCTGGGGTGTTTTAACGGCCTGCCTTTTCTCAGAGACATACACAAGGTACATACCCTCCTCTTGGTTCTGTTTGTAATAATTATAGAACGCTGATGCACACAAGCAGCCATAGGTATCTATTATGCTACTGGCTTTGAACTTAGTCAATCTGACTATTCTGCCATCAGGCAACTTATGTTTTAGCACCTTCTTGTCCCAGTCAAACTGGGGCTTGGCAACCTCAAGGTAGTATATGCCTAACAACATATCGAATGGCAAGTCGTCGCTAACCAGGAACGAAATCTTATGATTAAGTTCCCCTCCTCCATAGGAGAAGGTACAGACTACATCCTTGATATAGTCTGTGACTATCATGCGCTCCTTATTGGCCAAAGTAGATGCTACAGGTCTACTAAGGTGCTGTACCTGGTCCTGTAGGCGCAGCCTTTCCAAACAGTCGCGACTTATGTAATTCCGCGTGGAGCCAATGTCTATGAAGGCACCACATTTGCGGCCTCCTACATCAACTTCCACTACGAAATGTTCCCCTCTAGGACCTTTCCTTAGTGCCACCCAAGATTCACGAGGGTCCTTGTTTGACCACTCGCTTTCCAGATCTTCTAAGGCTTCAGACACATCCAACGTACAGAGCATAGTTTGGTCTGGATGAGTCTGCGGGGTGACTAAAGAGTCATTAGCTATGGCCATCTCATGAAGTGGGGAGGGTATCGGGCCCACTTCACCATCAGTAGAAGCAGCTAAAACTTCCACCGGCCTCACGTGTTTCCCGAGCTAGAAGCCTGGGAAGAAGATGCTCCCATCTTAGGAGGTATCTTCTGCGTGACCTTCGCGTTCTGGCACTTGTACTGGGTGTGTCCGTACTCACCACAGTTAATACAATCACCACGCACTCGGCGGTCCCGCCACACTTCCTGATCAGGACCTGCCTTGACCCAATCAGCCACTTTGGTCTGATTGGAGGCGGCCTTCCCTTGACTCTTTGGATGGCCCTTCACTCGGCCACCAGCCTTAGCCTTGACTACTGCGGCGAGGGTGCTACCCTCAGCAATCTCCTCGCCGTCGTACTCTGAAGCGTCCAACAGGTCTGTGAGCTCATCGATCTCTGTTTGAGTCCCGTCGGACTCAACCATCATCAATTTAGCCCCTTTCTTCTTCCATTCCTGCGGGCTCTTCTTTTTCTTTGAGTCAATCTGAGTAGGTTGAGCATTCCCTAGAGAGTGGCCTCTAAGTCTAAGGCTTTTCTAGACAATGTCTCAAAAGAGTGATACTCGAGGCGAGCCTCGCTGGCCAGCAAGTTCCTGAGGTTCTCCGGAAGACATCTTGCAAATGTGGTCAACAGGAATTGGTTATCATAGTTGATGTCAGGGACGATGATAAGGCTCTCAACGGTAGTTGTAAGCTCTCTGACCGACTTGAACTTTCGTTGGTCTAGTCTGTGCATCACATCAGTGGCCATTTGCGCCTGCTGTGGATTGTGCCATCGAGCTTCTACCATCTCCATGAACTGGTCTAACGTGATTGTCCTAGCCCAGTCCGCCATGCGTCGTCCGTACCCGGCCTTTGCAACTAAACCATCTAGCCATTTGGCTGCCTTACCCTCGAGGTAAGATGCAACAGTAATCACCTCCTCCTCCTGCAAAGTCCTCTTCGCCTTTACCCATACCGGAACCATTCTCAACCAAGTGTTGAGTTCCTCATCCTTCTTCTCGCCTGCGAAGGAAGGAGGCGGTTTCATAGGGGTCTTAGGGTACCATTGACCTTGCGGCTGTCCCTGTTGGGAAACAGGTTGTTGTGGTGGTGTAGCAACCACCACTGGACCCGAAGAAGAAGAAGCATCAGTCTGTGAGACTGCTGCAGACGTGCCACTTGGTTGTGTGCCAACTTGCACGGGAAAGGGGCCTGACATCGCCGTTAACGGCAACGGCGACTGTGCTGGTGGCCTAAATCCTGGCCTTTACAAAATGTCCAGGATCTGGTCTAGAGTGTTCTGCATAAAGTCCAATCGGCTGTCCACATGCGCATGCAGTGACAGCATATTGTTCTTCAATACTTTCATTGGTTCAGTCAATCTTGACTCATCCAAACCCTCTGACTCAGCTTTGTCAGCCTCTAACGTTCAAGCCTGGCTGTTTTATTTTTAATTTCTCTTTCTCTATCGGTTGCCTGTTTCAGTTCCCTCTCTAATCGTTCACGGATCCTTTCGACCTGTTGGAGCTCTAAAAGTTCCCTTGAGCATGGGGTCAACGGGCTGAACTGCGAGCCCGCCATTTGACTTGTAGACTGTCGAGAACCTACTGAACTGGAAGTACCCGTGGACCCTGTGGGCATACCCAAATGGGTCCCTGACGAGGATACTGCGGACGATGCAGCAGAGGATGCCGCTGCGCTAGACATTGCTACCGATCTGCCTGCTGCAGCAGCCTGTTCCCTAGCTGCTAGGTTCGCTTCTGCCCTCGCTGCTGCAAGAGCACGGGCTCTACGTTCGGCACGAAGCCGTGCTTCGTCTCCCGGTTGTAGGGTCTGGAACACGTGCGGGACCCTAAGTGCTCCCGAATGTGTAAGTCTCACATTGTCCTCTCTCCCCTCATCGTTGTCTGATCCGCTCATGAGTTGGGCAAACACTATCTGCACTAGAACCCCCTAGTGGAGTCCTACCACAGCATGCGTCTGACCGGCACCTAATTTTCTAAAAATAGTTGTGTCCGGCAGGTCCCCTACTTTACCGATCAAGTGGCAGCCTACAACATTCACAACAAATTGTCAACATAGTCTAGATGTATCTTGATTGGTTCACTTACAGCAACATTAGATAGAACTGGCTATGGTAGTATACAACAGTCCTACTCTAATCTGTCTGTGAGGTGTTAGCAGTCTGTCCACCAACTAATCAAGAATAAAAGAAGACCATGTTGCAGATGTATGAATAGTGGGTATGGTTGTGTTTCCAATTGAGCATCAATTAGAACCTACCCTTCCCCTCAATCCAACGTACCGGTAAGCATCATTGAGCAGCGGTGTCTTCGTGTGTGTTTTCGACCCACCCCTGTGCCCAAGTCGTTGCCGAGCAAGCCAGCCAGTCCACTCTTATTTACCCTCGTACGGATCGAGCCTTACACCCGGTTGATCTGGCTGATCAGGAGGAATTTTAAGAGCGCCCCCATCTCTTCAGGAATTATTTAACGTCGCAGTCAGGATGGCGATCACAGCCAAATTCAATCCGAGTTCCCAACCAGAAATGTTTATAGACGGTCTGGTAAGCGTCTCATAAAAGGCTGGCACACCCGGCAGGACTTCTATAGCGCAGCAAAGTGCCAAAATGGACAGCAGCCATCGCATGCGTGACCTACTCCCATTGGGTTGGCATGGTGACCGTGACCCAGTGCTTCGACCAGGGCCCTTCAGAGGCACCGCCCTTTCTCCTTCCGGATGCTTCCGGGAAGATTGTCGTCTCTCAAGGTAGCGCRCTCACGACACCTCACCRAAAGAGAGGACTCTCAAGTTGGACTCACTTCCTCACAGTAAGAAGAGATTGAGAGAGTAGATAAGGTAAGGGAACAACATACCTGGAGATAGCTGCCCCCAACCACAGATTTCTCACCAATTGAGCTGAGTGTGCATTTGATGACCGGTCTTGGCCTCGGTACCACCCACAACGCAATGCAGTGCCACCTCAGTCGAATGCCACATCAGCATGCTCTCATCACCAATCATACATTCCGCCTGTCACCACGACAATTAATGCCGCCTTAGCCTTCCGACGCACACCTCTCTACCCAGGCTGTGCGCCTAACATGGCCTGTCGTCACAAGAACCAACTGCGAAGAAGCATCGTCAACGCACCAAGTTTGTATAACACCAACGCACCAAGGCAAGTGGCGAATCAAACCAGCTCCGATACCAAATTGCAAGGAACATGAATATGGACGAAGCACAGAAATCCAGATTGCAAAATCACACCGAAGTCCAAGTAGTCAAAGCAAGAGCAGATAGCACAATGGAACCGAGTAACCATCCATTTGAGAATGATACAGAAGAATCGTGAGTCAATGTCCAAGCCCAACAGGGCAACACCAACAGCATAACCCAATGTAGCTCTCTCTCTTGAATGGCGCCAGACGCCCTACCTACTCTACAGTCTAACACTACAACTACAGTATGAAAGCAACCAGACAACTTGACGACCAGCGAGTGATGATGTCAACACCAATACCGACCTCCCATCTCCACCAGGTACGTCTCCTTCTTCACCCACACTCTCCCTTGTTATCCCACACAACGCCCTTCACCTCCGAAGAACCACCATCGCCCTCACCTCTCCTGCGCCCTCAGGCAGCTCGACTATGGCCGCCAACTCCCTGTGTACAGGCAGCGCCCACCGCCTAGCGCCTGCCTGCCTCGCACCTCAGCCTAGCGCAGCGTGCCGGCATTGCCCGCGACGGCCAAGATCCCTGCCCACTCGCCCTGCTTGCCTATATGCCAGTGTTGCGTGTGGGCGGCCTCCGTTGAGCCTGTGCCTGGGCCCCAGTGCCTGTACCCAGGTCCGATGCAGTTGGGGCCCCAGGAGATGCAGTTGTGCCTCTTTCGTCAAGGCCTGCGCCCAGATTCAGATAGTGGAGCGGTTTCCCTTTGGCATTTTCGGCCTCTATATCCAGCATGCATTGTCGGCCTCACGTTTATGTGCCCAGGGGCCTAACCAACTCGGGGCCCTGGGATTTCTGCATTTGCAGAGCTCCGATACTCGGTGCACACCAACCAACTAGCGTGCTGCAACTGTATGGACCCCACTTCGTGAAAAGTTTGCTCGGAGGGCTCTTGTTGATTTGCTGGCCCGCCTTCACTTAAGGTGGGCACTAGGCTTGCTGGGGGCCTTAGCCCATAACATGTACTTCATGGCAAGGCCCCTTCTTGAGGGCTCAATCCTCACAGCCGTAAATCCTCAAGAATTATTTAATGTCTCCTCACAGCCGTAAATCCTCAGGAATTATTTAATGTTGCAAACAAGACAACGATCACAACCAGAATCAACACCGAGTCCCCGCCAGAAATATTTAAAGACGGTCTAGTAAGCGTATGTTCAAAGGGCTGGCATGCCCTGCATGACCTCTATTGCGCAGCAGCAGAACCAAAGACTTGCAGCAAAGCATGCCTGTACTAGTCCCAGCAGGTTGGCATGGTGACCGTGATCTGAGTGCTTCGTCCAGGGCCCTTCAGAGGCATCGCCCGTCTCCCACCAGCTTGCTGCCCAGGAAGAATGTCGACTCTCAAGGTTGAGTGCTCGCGACACCTCACATTGAGAGGACTCTCAAGACAAAACTCACTTCTTCACGGTAAGAAGCAATGAAGAGGGTAGATAAGGAAGGAAGCAACGTACCTCATAATGCTGCCCCCAGCCACAAATTTCTCACCGGCAACCTGATGTGCATTTATGATGACCGATCTTTGCCTCGGCACCACCAACAACAGAATGCAGTTCCACCTCGGCTTACATGCCACATCAGCGAGCTCTCATCATCCAGCCTACACCCCTATTGTCACCTCATAGCTTCCTGGCGTGCCCACACGACCCTGCAGCCTCCGAACTACTTGAAGATGTCGCCCGTTGTCGGAGGGCGTGGTGTCCCGGCCCTCCTCGGTGTGCAAAGTTCCTCCCTGGCACCAGTGCTTCGGACAAATGTCGTGGCTCTTCAAGCTGCTACTGGACCGCCACGACTTCTCTGATATACCTGGGTGGTGCCATGACGCAGACCGGTCCGGTTGGTGCCTGCCCTCAGCAAAAGAGGTGCGCCACTGGGCTTTCCATTGGTACACGCAGGCTCGGCGCCCTGCTGTACAGCAGAGCACTACCGGCCTGTGGCCGTGGTAGCCGCCGGGTTCGCCCAGGGACGCAAAGGTAGAGGGATCGGCGCGGTCTTTTCTACTGCGCGCAGAGTGCCCCTCTGCCAAGTTATGGGTTAGGTGCACGAAACAGGCACTGTCAAAAAGAAAAGGGCCGAACAAAAGGAATAAAAGAAAGTGAAATGTAAAAGTAAAAAAAAAACTAAGCGTCTGAGCGACACTTGGATCAAGGCCTTTGTTTTAATTCGAAGTAATCCAGCGACAGCT